AATAGGCTTCCAAGTGATTGCCCTCTCCTACCACTGTTGCCAATCATTCCTCAGATGGAAACTCAGCTTTCCACTTCTGTAATCTCATCACCTGCCATGCTTCTCAAGATCCTCTGGGAAGAGGGCTTGCCAAAAAGTTTTCTATGCCATTAGATCTTTGCAGCTTAAGTAACTCATCCTCATCTTACGTGGTGAATTTTTTCCCCAGAAAATTATCTACAATCAGATTCATGTTAAAAATCATTAGCAAAATTTCGATCTTTAAAATTCATCCTCTCTTTAAACATAGATACATTAATTATACTTGCTGAAGAAGCAGCTGGAGGCCCTGGTACTTGTACCTACTGTTTTTATTTTTGTTTGTTTTTAAGGGGGACCACCTCATAACTGCTTTTGCTGGCTTGTTTTAAGTGAGAATATCCCACGCTTTTTTTTTTTCTTGTGGGGGAGGGGGGCTATAAACAGATCTAGTGTCCTGATGAGTTATCCTTCCTTATCCCACAAACCATAAAGAGGAACATAAAATCGTGCTAGCTTTTGGTATTTTAGTGCCTTTTTTGTTTGTTTATTTGTTTTTGGCTACCTGGGCAAAACTAAAAAAAAGTAGAACACAACAAAACTAAACAGGGCTCCCCAATGCACTCCTCAGCCCATAGCACCTTTATTTCTATGAAAGACCTGCTCAACCCTGGGGTGTGGGAAGAGTAAAGAAGACACAGAGGAAACTGAGACTTGGGGAATAAGGTATAGTATGAGAGCCCTGTGAGACAAAGGTATTTTGCCTGCTGTTTTCAGTGCTCTATTTCCAATCCTACAATGCTGCTCAATAAATATTTTGCTGGATGAATGAATGCTACAGAAGAAAGATAAAAGGGGAGGGGTCCATAAAAGCTTTTACAGAGTTGAGATTCGAGAACTCATTGACAGGTTGTGAAATCAAGAAGTTTGACTACCTTTTCCTTAAAAAAAAAAAAAGAAAAAGAAAAAATGAATTGACTAGAACAGGACACAAAACATCTCAGTAAGAGAAAATATAATTTCATGCAACTTTTGTTTCAGACACCCATGATTTCAACTTAAAATACATTTCTTACTGTTTAAAGTTGAAAGGAAAATGTTTACATAGAGATATAAAAACAGATTCCTAGGCTCAAGCCAGGACTTCTTGGATCAGAATCTCTGGAATTTTGCACTTTGAACTAGTTCCCTTGAGGATTCTAATATAACTTAAGTCTCTAGTTTGAAATTTCAGCCAGTTTATTAACCATGGAAGAGCTGATTGGCAAATTAGTTCAACCACAATTTCATGGCCATCAACTGTTTAAGAGGCAAGAGCTAGACATTTAATGACCATAAATAAAATGTGATTGTTCTTTTTCTGCCCATCATTGACCTCACTGCTGAGCTGTTTCCTTCCAGAGCCTTCTACGGACTCACCCCAAAGCCCATCAGACTTATTCTGGTACAGGTTGGCCACATAGCCTTTATCTTCTAAAATAAACAGCCAAAGAGGATTTAGTTCCAGATGTGAGGCTAGATGGGAGAGACTGCTTAGCAAAGAACCTACCAAAAACCACAGCCTAAAGCCAGTCATCAGATAGCTATGTATAACAGGTGTAGCTTGTTCTACCCTAATCCTGGCAGATCTAGTGGCCACCTGTCCTGACAGCTGGAGACAAAACTCCCTGGAATGATGATCCAGCAATACTGGAGCCTCAGGCTTCCAGAGGCCCACTGGGAATCCTCTACACCAGCTGCCACTCATCCTGCATCTCTGAGTCTGCCCTTCTACCCTCCACACAATTAACCAGTCTACATTGTGTAAGCCCACGTACATACAAATGTATACTATTGGTTTCTCTCTGTGCTACTTTCATAGGTAGTAACTAACACACAGTCACTGTTTTCTCTCTCTCACATCAGACATGATATTTTTTAGAAGTTTATTTCTTCTGTGAGTAAGAGAGAGAGAGCACGCTCAACAGGATTCTGATGTTGTGGTTTATCCCAAGCTTCAGCCAGCCTCAGTTCAGGGATACATACTCAGCCTGCTCAGAGACGTCTGCAGATACCATTCAAAAATCTTCACAAGGGTCAGTCTGGCAGAGCATTGCATTTTATTGCTGCACCACTGTCCGGCCCCTAGACATGTGTTCTTGAAGTCAGTTCAACAATCTAGACTCATAGACTGGGTCGTTTTCAGATTCTTCTCTCTTACTGAGTAGGATTGTCCAGATCCACCTGAATGGGAATCACCCCTGGAGCTTTTCTGCCCTGGGAAGTTTCCAGCCATTACACAAGGGTCTCCCTGCTGGCCCCTATAGCACTCACTGTCTGAGCTATTCATCTGCTACTACTCTAACAGACTCCTTATATTAACTGTGGGTGAGCTAATCCTGTTATTGTCTTTTCTCCTCAACCCGCCTTGCAAATTCCTAGGAGATAGCAACTATCCCTTACATTTTTGTCTCGATCCCACAGCGCCTTGCTTTAAAATGTCTTTTTAATTTACCTCCATGTGTATGTGAATGTGGAAAGACACACCGAACTTGGCATAGTCCACGCCAAGCTCTCGGCACCAGACAAGTTCATCAGAATCTATTCATCTTGGCAGGAAGTTATCTTTTACCACATTTGGTTGATCACGTACCAAACTGCTCTGCTACATTCTGGACACTAACAATGGCACATTAAGTTCTGAAGAACAAAAAAATTTTACAGTAATAGGGTCAGACTAACAGTATTAAGGACAAAAGTCAAAGTCAACTTGCTTTACATACACTCTCATTGAATCTTCACAACAGCCCATACATAAAGTTGGTGTTACTACTCCATTTCACTTCTCTGTGAAGACACAGAGAGCTCTAATAACTGGCCAAAGTTGGTAAGCAGCAGACCGGCATTCAAATTCAAATCTGTCTAATTTCACCACAATTCTTGACCGCCTATCTAATTTTCTTTTTCTTTTTTTTTGGAGAGGTTTTTGCTATAGGGCACATGCACTCACCAGAAAGACAGAGACAGAAAGCGAGAAATCACCCTCCCCTGGGGGAGATGACCACATCGCAATCCTTTCTCCTCCATCCTTTTCTCGAGATCTTGGGCATGCACTCACACACGCCCGGCATAAGTTTAAGCCACTGGGTCCGAGGTTCATACTGTGGTCAACTACATAGGAGTCCAACAACATAGCCATTATGCCAACTGCTGGTCACACTGCCTATCTAATTACTCCAACTCTAGTGTGGATTCCCAGACCAAAACTTGGACAAAGTTCTCTTCCCTAAAGAGAGGATAAAAAAAAAACAAAACAATGTTTTATTTTTAAACAAACATTTTTTAAAGCAAGTGAGTAACCCATCCATCAATCCTTCGGCAAAGACAGGCATAGGGAAAATTTTAGAAATATATACATATATTTTTACCTTGGCTTTGCAAGTCTTTTTCTTTAATCTTCTGCTTCTTCATCATCTCCATCCAAATTCAGTTTAAACTCTGATCACTTTCTCTACAGTTCCAACAGCCTCCTAATTCTCCTGACTCTAAAGTCAGAATATATCTAGAATCTGACCAATGCTTAGCCGTCTCTCAAGTCTTAACAAATCTCCCAGCTTCCAACTTTGACCCCATAATGGTGTTGTCTCAACACATCAGTGCATTCTTTAAAAGGGTTAAATTAGAGCACATCACGACTCTGCTCAACATCACCTCTACCCTGATTTCCCCCTCTGCTCCCTTTGCATTCTTAAAACATGACTTCTCTGTTATTTGCTGAACAAATTCCATGCTTCTGCCCCAGTGTCTTTGCTTTGGCTGTTCCTTCTGCTTGGAGCTCTTTTGTCCAAGATATTTACATGGCATATTCCCTCACCTCCTTTATGCCTTTACTTAAAGGTCACTGCCCAATTGCGGCTTTCCCTTAACATCCTGTTTAAAATTGAAATCTACCACCCACCCTAGGACTTCCACTTCCTCTTGGCTTGCTCTATTTGCTTTTAGTCATAGCACTTACCAACTTCTATCACACTACATAAAACAGTTATTAAGTTTATGGTATTCCCTCACTAGGAGACAAGCGCCATGAGGGTAGACCTGTTTAAACTTTGCTAACTGCTATACTCTCAGCACCTGGAGTACAGCGAGCACATAGTATACGTTTGGCAAACATTTGTTGAATTACTGATTTACATGCCTTATTAGCAAGAAAAACTAGTAATTTCACAGCAATGCACTATGTTTACCCTGGCTTTCAGTATTCTGGGCTTCTGATTCACTTCGGGAGATACCTATCCATCCGTTTGAGAAACTTAGAAATGGGAAGCTATTAAAAGGGGGAACATGGTGAGTTCTGCATTTCAGTCAGTACACTCTAGCTCTGGGAGACCGTTCAAAGGAGAAGGCAAGAATTATGAGTCCATTCCAACAGCTCAGGCAGGCGATAAGAGCTTGAGAAATATTTACTAGATAAGAAGGAAAGATGCGATGATTGATTGGATGTTGGGAATCTGGCTGATTCAAGCTTTTGGGCTGAGTCACTGAACAGAGAGTGCCTGTAATCTTGGAGACAGAACATACCAGAAGTACATCTGGGAATGGACCTGGCAAATAAGTCTCCTCCACTTAGTTTAATATTCACTTTAGCAATCCATTGACAAATAACTAAAGTGATTAAGGTGTAAAACTCCTACAAGAAGACCATTGTTTGTATTTCCATTTTTCAGGGGCACTGAGCTGACCACTGAGCAGATTCCCTTTTACGGCAAAAAGCAAGAATGTCTTCTCATGGGTTACATTTTTGAGTCAGTTGTCCACCAGAAGATACATACCTAACAGGACTCTGGTAGTCTTCACCGACAATGACATGCCCCATTTCGTTGGAAAACAACTACAGAATTGAGAAATTTACAAAGAGATCCATCTTAAAGATCCCTGACCAAAGGGATTACATTACGGCTCAATCTGCTCCTTACATAACTGACAGTTTTACCTTCCTACCTTACCTGTAAAACTCTCTCGATTTAGCTTAGGTCTGCGGACAATCACAAAGTCTTTGTCATTCCCTTTGCTCTTCAGTCGTTTGCGTGAGGGGCTCTGGGGTTGGCCCAGGTTTGAAAGCAATTCCTGTGGGATATTCTCACTGTCCACTTCTTCCTTCTCCAGGGCTGAGACTCCCATGCCTGATAGCAGCTCAGAAGTCTTACTGGAATCCCATCCCCACGTGAAGCTGGTGGTAACGTTGCTGCTCTGGTCTGGAATCTCCTGAAGGTGCTTCCTGCAGAAGTGCACAATAACCCCATTCCTTTCGAAAACACATTCGTAAATATTTCCGAGGCAGGCATAAAAGAAGCTGCAAGTTATGCATTCTAGAAAACTTTCACAGCAGGTAACAGAATTGCATTTTTTACGCGCATACGGCGAGTTCCGAAGAATGAAAGGGAAAATAACCGAACACGTTGGAAAAGGTTTTTTCTTTTCATTTTCTATTTACGCGATCATGCAGAAGGCCCTAAGAATTTCTTCCAGTGGAGGGAACAGAAGGAAAGAGGGAGGGCAATTCTACAGTGGTTGAAAACAGCAGCAGGAAAGCCCAATTACAGAAGCCCCCCAGAAAACCTGCACTTTGCTCCCCGCACTAAAATATCCAATCATTTACACTTTACGCAAAAAGGTGCTGAGCAACCCATTCACATAACACAGAAAATTAGCAAGTAACAATATGCGCGGCCTAAATGAATTAAGACAGTTCATTCATGTTTAATCTCTCTTTGCAATGAGTTTACCTCTGCATGGCGTCTCCAGGTTCAGAAGTTTTAAATACGTGCATTAATTGCAGGGCCGCCCGCCTTCCAGATTCCCGCTTTGGCGCGCTGAGGTTGCAGGCATGCGGCTCAGTCCCCCAGCCCTAGACCCGCGAACTCTAGCAACGTTCCATCCCCGCCGCGCGCGCAGGGCTCTTCTGCCCGCTCTCGGCGGCCGCGGTCTGCAGCCCAGCTGCCTGCTGGGAATTGTAGTTCCAGCCCTGTCTTGTAGTCCGACTGGCTCGCCGCTACTTCCTCCCCTTGCAGCTTTGCCCGCCTTCGAGATACCCACAACCCCCAGCGGGTGCCCGGCCGCACGGCCCACGGGGTAGGCGGGGAAACGGAAGCGGGCGGCGCTCTGGCTGACTGGGAAATGTCAGCCGCTTGACTGGGGACGGGTTTTCCTTTCCCAGGAGCCCGCAGGCCTTCTGGTGACCACCACTGCTGTCACCACCGAGCGTGGGTCCCAGACCCTAGACGACTGTGGCGGACGCGGAGCGTCCCGGCCCCTTCCAGACGCTGTCC